CCGAAAGACCCCTTTTGGGCCCGGGGGGGGGGGGAGGGTGAGCCCGGGGGGGGGGGCCTGCAGGACTCCACAAAGATGGGGGGAGGCGCCATTTTCACTGAACCGGGATCGCATGTGGAAAATCTGTCCTCAATCGGAATCTCATATCATCTTTTTTCTCTGTTAAATCCGCAGTTGAAGGTCCGTTTCTCACTATAATAGAGCAGCCGAAGCAGGTATGGAGCTCATGCTTTGTGGCGAGCTGGGTGTCCCAGCCGTATTCTGTCAGAGGTGGGTTTGGGTGCAGCTGTGTTGGACCCTCCAGTGGGATTTGTTTGTCTGATTTTCTCCCCCCCCCCCTGTCCACAGCGAGGCTTCCGGTTCCGATACGGCTGCGAAGGCCCCTCGCACGGTGGGCTGCCAGGAGCATCTAGCGAGAAAGGCCACAAGACCTACCCGACTGTCAGAGTGAGTATCGGTCGGCCTAGAAAAGGGTTTGCGAACTGAGATGGGGGGAGGAAACCCAAAACCTGCATTGAGCTTTGTGATGGCTTGAAACCCCAACCCACCCCCCCCCCCCCCCCCCCCTACAATATACCATTGCAGGCAAGTGGTCTGACCAGTTAGGGTAGCGTTACTGTTAGTCAGCTTCTTGATATTTTGCAACTTGCCCACTGTGTTAGCGAATGATTTAATGGGTTCTCATCTAGCCTCAGATGCTTTAAGGTGCACCGACCAACATCATACCTTAGTGTTCCAGGTGGTGTTTCCTCTTGGGATAGGTCAGAAGAAAATCAGATTGTGTTTCATAGGGTTAGCCGTTGGCCATGTGGATTCTGAAAAGCTGTGTTTGGTTTTAAAAGAAATGGGTGTGCCGCAACATCTGATTGTCTTAATGTTCAGCCTGTACTCCAGACAAGAGGCTGCTGTTAGGACAGAATGTGGAGAAAATGGAATGACTTCTGATTGGCAAAGGTGTCAGACAAGGGTACATTTCATCTCCCCGTCTGTTCAATCTGTATGCAGAACAGATCATAAAGAGAGCTGGATTAGAATTAGATGAAGGTGGAGTGAAAACTGGTGGAAGGAACATTAACAACCCGAGATAATGCAGATGAAACCGCACTACTGGCAGAAAAGAGCAAAGACTCGAAACAGCTACTGATGAAGGGTAAAGTCGAAAGTGCTAAAGCAGGATTAGAGCTGAACACCAAGCGGCTGTAGGGGTTAAGAGCAGCAGACTCTAATCTGAGAGAACCGGGTTTGATTCCTCACTCCTCCACATACAGCTGCTGGTGTGACCTTAGCTCAGTTACAAGTTATTTCAGAGCTGTTCTCTCATGAGCAGTTCTCAAATGAACTCCCTCAGCCCCACCCTACCTCAGAGGGTGCCTGTTGTGGGGAAGGGAAAGGAGATTGTAAACTACTCTGAGACTCCCCCGGGTAGTGAAGGGCGAGGTATAAATCCAATCTCCTCTTCTTCTAATCTGGAGAACTGGGTTTGATTCCCCAATCCTTGACATGACGCCTACTGGGTGACCTTGGGCCTGTCACTGTTCTCTTGGAACTCTCAACCCCCCCCCCTCACAAGGGGTGCCTGTTGTGGGGAGAGGACGGGGTGTGATTGTAAGCCACTTTCAGACTCTTTAAGGGAGAAACAAGCAGGGTATAAAAACCTACTCTTCTAATGGAGAATTAGACTAGAGAATTAGACAACTTGAAGATTAATGATGAAGAAATGGGAATTGTTCAAGATTTTCTATTCCTTGGCCCCATCCAATGTTCCCTCTAAGCTGTGGAATCTTGTGAGCAAAAATTCTACTTTGGGAGCTCCTGGCATTAAAGTTGTGAGTGAGCGATTTGGCTACTGCATCAATTAGTTTGCTCTGGAGCCATCCCTTCCTGAGCTAAGACAAAAATGTGTGAGCTGGAGGCTAAAAAACTGTGAGCTAGCTCACACTAACTCACCCTGAAGGGAACACTGGCCCCATCACCAGTCAGAAGGGAGACTGCAACCCAAAAGTCAGAAGGGGATGGAGACTGGGGAGGGAAGCCATGAAGGATGGAGCTGGAAAAGACCCTCAAGTGTCAGGATGTGTCTCTGGCAACCAAGATCAAGCCGTAGTTATTCCCCACTCCTGTGGTCGGGTGTGAAAGTTGGGCCGTGAAGAAACCTGACAGGGAGAAAGTGGATTCCTTTGAGATGCAGAGTGCTGGAGGGGGAGTTTTATGGATACTGAGGACCGCCACAAAGACAAATATGTGGCTTCTTGATCAAATGACTACATGCTGTCGTATTTCGGTCGCATTAGGAGGAGACAAGAGTCACCGGAAAAGACTGTCGTGCTAGGAAAAGTTGGGGGCAGCAGGAAAAGTGGAAGACCCAGCTGGAGATGGGGGGACTCCGTCAAGGAGGCCACAAAGGCCGTCCGTCTGCATCACCTGAGCCAGGCTGGCAACGAGAGGGCCTTCTGGAGGGCCTTCATTCCAAAAAACGTAAGTCAGAAGCGGCTTGCTGGAGCTCCAGTCAGTCGCTTTATTACAACAGCCAGCAACCAGCAATACAGTTGGATTAAAAAAAATTTTTAAATGATAAAAAAGATAGAATTAAGTCTTAGAAACATACAGAATCATACCAGATAACTACAAAGTCATGCTGCCATATGGGATTTTCGATGCTTGTAAACCTGAGCACAGAATTTAGCCACCTGACGAGTAGTCTGGTGGTTTCTATCAGACAGGAGATAACCAAGCATGGTTTTATTTGATCTCCTGGGAAATCTTTCTAGCAGTGGGCTAATACTTTCCGATCGGACCTTTATATAGTTAAGACAGTTTTAAAAATATGTTCTATAGAGTCAGTTTCACCCATGGAGCAAGAACAGGGCCTTAAGGAGTAAGGGATTGCTTTAAACCTCCGTTCCAACACTGCCGAAGGCAAAGTCGAACTTCTGGCCAGTGTGAATGCCCTTCTAGTGTTGCTAGATTACAGAAAATATAAATGAACAGCTGGGGCCAGTGTTCCCTCTAAGCTGGGTTAGTGTGAGCTAGCTCACAGTTTTTTAGCCTCTAGCTCACAGAGTTTTTCTCTTAGCTCAGGAAGGATGGCTTCAGAGCACACTAACTTATGCAGCAGCCAAATGGCTCACTCACGACTTTAATGCCAGTAGCTCACAAAGTAGAATTTTTGCTCATAAGGCTCCACAGCTTAGAGGGAGCATTGGCTGGGGCTGCAATGTATCTGTTTTTTTCTGGTGAAATAAACTCTGGGGATCTTGAGATGTCCATTTGTCTTTTAGTATTTGCTTAATGTCTTTCACTCTTTGCTTCATGAGTGATTTTGCCTGATCTATTCCAAGATCCAAGAGGGCTTAGAGAGATAAGCCTAGTGTTTCAATAGATTTCAAAACCTCCTTTTGCCAACTGGATTGAAATTGGTCTTACAGCATTAATGAAAACAGGCCATGTGGGTTTGTATTTCCTGCCAGCCATTTAAAGATTGATGGGATGCATATTCTAGCCTCAACCCTTAACATTCCTGTCTCAAGTCTAAGCCCGGGTGTTCGACACACATTTGGGCACCTGTAGAACAGCTCTCAGGAATCCACATTGTACTCTCTCAAGTGGAGAGAAAGAAGAAGATGATGGTCCAAGGAATGTTCCATGTAATAGTTGGGCCAATGGCTCCCTCGGGATTGATGAAATTTCAAATGCTATTTGCGGTTTTCTCTCCTATGTCTGCAACTTAGCTGCTAGGGGCTGCTCTGGAACCAGAGGCTTGAAAGACTACGCCCAGATATTTGAAGCTGGTAACTTGTTCTAATTGATTCCCCTGCAAGACCCAGCGTCTGGTCTTTGGGTTTTTCCCAAAGGCCAGAATCTTAGTTTTATCATAATTGGTAGTAAGTTGTTCTTTATCACAGTAAAGGGAGAGTTTTTAAGGCTTGTTTCAATCCTGGGGGGGTGCTAGAAAGTAATACTGCGTCATCTGAGTATAATAATATGTGAATGTGCCAATGTACTACTTTGGGAGGGTGGAGATCTGGGTACTTCATAAAATTTACAAGGTTGTTGATGTAGAATATAAACAGCAATGGCGCTAGCAGGCATACCTGCCTAACACCCTTGTATGCTTGGATGGGATCAGTCAGAGGCCTGTTTCGGCTGCATCTTACTCTGAGGATAGTTTGCTCATGACTAGCCCAAATGAGAAACAGCCAATGTCTATCGATGAAGGAGGCTTCTAACTTTTGCCATAGTTTAGTTCTGGAGACTGTGTCAAAAGCTGCCTTTAAATCTACAAATGTTGCATAGAGTGATGTTGGGCCTCCGGTGTTGTATTTCTCCACAAGATGTTGCAACGTGAAGCAGTGGTCTAACGTTGACCTACCCGCTCTGAAGCCTGCTTGTTCTTCTACAATGATACCCTCCTGTTGTAACCAAACTGAACATTTTTCCAGTAAATGTTTTGCATAAAGCTTACTTACGATACTTAATAAACTAATTGGTCTATAATTTGACGGGTCCTCTTTCTTTCCTTTCTTATAAAAAGGGACTACTGTGGCCATGCCCCGATCTTTGGGGATAGGGTCAGTTTCATCGATGTAGGGTGAATAAGGAGGCTAGAAAGGTTGCCCACCAGCCCTTATTTGCTTTGAGTAGTTCTGGGGTAATTCTGTCAAAGCCTGGAGCTTTGGCATTCTTTAGCTGGCTGATGTACGCTTTGACTTCTTCAGCCAATACTGGGGGCCAGTTGGTCATTTCTCCTGTTGTTAATGCGGGAGGGGGAGCGTGTAGGATATTCATACATTTCTGTAAAGGTCCACTTGTCAGGGGTTAGGGTTAGGGTTAGGGGGGGGGGAGTTGCTGTGAAGGCACGGTTCGAGATGAGTTTTTATTCTTGGCTGCTTCAATTAAATTAGCCCACAGTTTCCTGGAATATTCTTTCTTCCAGTAGCCAACCAGTAGTTTTTATATATATATATATATATA